GACACACAGGTAAGCAAGGAAGCAGATGAATCAGGAGGCAGAGTTACTGTGTGAAGATGGACAAGGAGGAGAGATTATATACAGATTAATAAGAAGGTGGAGTTACTTATGAAGATGAACAAGGAGGAGAGATTATATTCAGATTAATAAGGAGGCGGGGCTATTGCATGAAGATGGACGAGGAGGCAGGTTTAGCTGATCTTGGTAGTAGTTGACTCTATGGGAGAGCAGATGTCAGTCAGTAAACATGGAGGGAGGGAGGGAGGGAGGGAGGAAGGGAGGGAGGGAGAAAGCCATGATGGACATTTTCTGCACACTGTCCACTGTCATGCTTAGACCGGAGGAAGGCTTTGCCACTCCTGTGGGTCTGAGGCACTGGGCCTTTGAACAGCATGCATTCACTCAGGACTTCATTTGCTCAGGGATCCTACTCCCCACAAGGCACAATTTCCCCCACCACATCCCTAGACCAGCACAGTGACCCAGACAGAAGAAATTGTTTAGCTATTAAGCCGAAATAAGTCTTTGTCTCTGGTTTGGGAATAGCAATAATGCAGCAATGATTATCTATGTATCCAGAGGCATCTACTGAGTTATTTCCTGAAGACAGATCTCTTCAAACTTTCCCATCAAAATTCCCCCAACAGCAGTAGGAAATAAACACTTGGGGGACTGAGGCCTATGAACAGCGGCTAGAAAATATACGTGTGTTTAAATATTGTTAAAATGGCGGGCTGGAGAGATGGCTCAAAGGTTAAGAACAGCCAGTGTTCTTAAGTTCAATTCCCAGAGGTCCTGAGTTCAATTCCCAGCACCCACATGGTGGCTCACAGCCATCTGTAATGAGATCTGGTGCCCTCTTCTGGCCTGCAGGGACACATGCAGACAGAACACTGTATACATAATAAATAAATAAGTCTTAAAAAAAAAAAAAATGGCAAAATGTGTTTCGAGCATTGCGTCAGTTTGGCTTCTTCTGGTTTGATATCCACATCAAGTTTTGGATGTGTTGTCCCCGACAGTGGCATCTGCGGCCCCAAGTATATTCCTCTTGAAAGGGTTATTGCTGCATATTAACTTTCTGTGGTAATTTTCCTAATGTAGTTTTTAGGGTGGGGTACTGGGAACTGAATACAGGGTCTTGAACATGCTTGGCTGTCGCGGTAACGCCTGCGCTACCACCACCTGTTCACCATGTCCCAGTGAGGGGCTGTGGATTAGAAAATAGAGACAAGAAACAGCGGGTCATTTGCCATAGCAGAATGCCGAATGCTGTTTATTGAAAGAGGCAGGAAACCTTAAATACAAGGCTTACAACACAAATGGAGGATCCCCGGAGGGCAGAAGTTCACTAACCAATGTTCTACATTCTTGCATCTAAGCTGTTTACACCAAATGCAGGATACACCAACAAAGACCCTCTGGTGAGCGTTCAGGAAGAAGGAAACCGGCAGGGAATCAGCATAGGGAGGACATCTGGTCAAGGTCAGCAAGCAGGGCAACAGTTTACTCAATATTGGTAGGCCAGGGCCCTACACTTGGCTTGTAGTTCTCCTACCAAGCTCTACCCAGAGTTCCTCATAGTTATTGATGAACAGACCAGTGTCACACAAACTTCCTCTAGGAAGATCCCACCTCCTAAAGTTTCCTGAACCTTCCCAAACGCTGTTACCAGCTAGAGACCAAATCTCAACTGTAGCCAGAAGGTTTCTCAGGTCCTGCACAGCCCACGGTCTTGCAGCCACTTATAAAATAATCAAAGGCTTAATATTATTTACAAACGGTATGGCCATGGCCTATGGCTCAAGCTTCTTGCTAGCTAGCTCTTATAACTAAACTCAGCCCATTTCTATTAATCTGTATGTTGCCACATGTTCCGTGGCTTTACCTGTGTGCCATTACATGCTGCTTCTTGGACGGAGGGATGGCATCTCCTCCGCCTCTGCCTTTCTTCTTCCTGTCTCTCTCTTGGATTTCCTGCCTGACTATAACCTGATTCGCCACAGGCCAGAGCAGCTTCTTTATTAACTAAGCATGGCAACACATATTCACAGCCTACAGAAAGACATCCCACACCACTCCATCCATAAGCCCTTTGCAAAGTGTGAAGGTCTGAATGGAAATGGCCCCCAGAAGCTCCTATATTTGAACGCTTGGTCCCCTGTTGGTGGAACTGTTTGGGAAGGGAAAGGAGGTGTGGCCTTGTTGGAGGAGGTGTGTCAAGGCGGCAGGCTTTGAGGTTTCCCGGTTAGCTCTCTCTCTCTCTCTCTCTCTCTCTCTCTCTCTCTCTCTCTCTCTCTCTCTCT